GCATGCTCAAAACACCCTAGAAGCTGTGTGGCATGCTCAAAACACCCTAGAAGCTGTGTGGCATGCTCAAAACACCCTAGAAGCTGTGTGGCATGTGTCTGTGTTTGTGCTTTGTGTGTTGTTGAAACAAGCCAAGCAAAGTTCTAGTACATGCCCCCAAATTATAGAAATACATCTCAGAAATGTGCAAGGTGGGTGTCCACCCAATCGTCCGGTTCACGCACACCCACACATGGAAAACATGGATCAATCGACACGCCGACCTCCTACAACAAGTGGGGACAAAAACTCACCCAAAGCATGGAGCAACATCAAAAGCGCTAAGGTCTCATCGTGGCGGTTAATTGATGCCCTTTTGTACAGCCTCTGACTTTGCAGACATAGGGCGTCGCCGTACCACTCACCAATCGCCCAAACGACAAAAACTAGGACATTCCATCTGTCCATGTTCTCAGGGCACGTTCATTCTCGTTTTGCACACTTGGTGAGTAGTGCAGCGAGACCCATGGTACGCTGGATGACTTGCAGGAACAGCTTGTTTACTCCAAGTGAAAGACACATATGGGATGCACTTTTCAGAGGAGAGCTTTGGTCAGCAGAACAAGCTCAGAACACTATCAAGCTAAAGTTGAGACGGATAATCAGAGCGCGGACTGGCGGAAAAATGACACACTGTGGTTTCGTAACACCTGGGCAGTGGACAATCGTCTGACAAAAGTCACAGCTGCAGAGTTAAAATCGGAAATGGGCCCGTGGTTAAGGGCCGGTGCGTCGGAGTTTGAGGGGAGTCGACTATAGACTAACTCTCTAGTCGTGTTCAGGCAGTTAAGGATATCAATGGGTAAAATACCCATTTTTAAGAGAATCTCTACTCTAAGTTGGCTACTTGGTCAAGTAGGAGTGTCATATTTCAGCATTCTGAGTGGCTGGTAGTTCACCACCCACAGGAGGTCCGAGTTGTTCTCCCCAGTTAAACAAACACTGGGTTTCGTATGTTCATGTGTAATACGTTTGACCAGCTGGAAGATTTTTTTCTTTTCTTTTTCTTTTCTTTTCTTTTCTTTTTTTTTTTTTTTTTTTTTTTTTTTTTCCCCAGCTGGAAGATTGAAGCTGCAGGGAGTAGAAGATAGCAGCCCCTTTTGGTCTTAACTCGTGCTTCAGTGCTTAATTTTGGAAAGAACAAAGAAAGGAATGGGGCTTTGTACACGGATTCTAGCCAAAGTTCATGAAGATCATACTCTAATGGTAAGCAAGTCATTATGATATGTGGAATACAGTTGTAGGAATGGGACGCTGGACCCGGTTTCCAGCATGCTCAGTATCTACTTGGCTATTAATGGAGTAGTGGCATTAGATAGTTTTGAAAACCCAGAGATAAGTAGGGGATGCTGGACCCGGTTTCCAGCTGTTGTTCCATGCCCTACTGGGCTTTGGCTACTGAATTCAGGGTTGAATTGTGAATTCAGCTGATATTCTTTCCAAAAAAAAAAAAAAAAAAAAAAAAGAAGACACATACGGCCTCGCTGCACCACGCACGAAATGCATAAAAAAGACAAAAAAAATGATGGTGGTGCATCTTTGCATGTTCTAGCTGAAGGCTCGTTCTCATTTTGCGCATTTGGTGAGTAGTGCGGCGAGTCACTTATTCACTGTTCTTTAAAGTTTAACGTTCTCCTTGAGAAATGGAAAAGGAGAGGGAAAGAAAAGAAAAGACTTCCACAAGGTAAAAAAAGACAAACAAGAAGACACTGTGAGGTCGTGGCTACCGGGATTGTGTTCCTGCATGATGGGCACTCCAGCTGTGTCTCTGGTATCAGCATTTCGCAAAAAGGACAAGGAGACAGGGGATCCTCGGCTTCCGACTTGTCCGGTTTTCTGACAATGTTCTCGATCTTCCTTTTGTACGCCGGAGCAATGGATGATCTGAAAATGACGAAAGTGACGCAACGCAGCAAGAAGTCAGAAGCAAAAGAAAATATTTTGTCAGAAATGTTTTGTCAGAAAACCCTGCCGGTTGATGGGGGCCAAGCAAAAACTGACGAAAATGACGAAATGCAGCAAGACCTTACAACAACAAGAAGTCAGAAGCGGACATAACATTTTGTCAGGAAACCCGGGCGGTTGATGGGGGGGCAAGCAAAAACCGATGGGAAAAAATGATAAAATGCACCAAGAACTGGCAAGAAGTCAGAACCGAGGAAAATTTTGTCAGAAAACCCAGTTGATGGGGGCCAAGCAAAAACTGAGGAAAATGAGGAAATGCAGCAAGACCTAACAACAAGGAGTCAGAAGTGACAAAATATTTTGTCAGAACACCTGGCCAACAAAATATTTTGTCAGAAAACCTGGCCGGTTGATGGGGGGAAGTCAGAAGTGAACAAGACATCTTGTCAGAAAAAAAAAAAAAAAAAAAAAAAGAAAACCCGGCAGGTTGATGGGGGGTTGCAGCAAGACCTTACAACAAGAAATCCGAAGCGAACAAAATATTTTGTCAGAAAACCCGGCCAGTTGATGGGGGCAAGCAAAAACCGACCAAAAAAAATGATAAAATTTGCACCAAGAAGTCAGCAACGAAGAAAATATTGAAAATAAGGGGAAACTGTGGCTGTGGCACACTTTTATTACTTTGAAGTTTGAACTTTGAAATAAGGTGAAACTGTGGCCCTTGACAGATTTAGGGTTGGCGGCGCCTCTTTTGCTCCAGTCAATTTCGGGAACTGCTAATTTAAAGTTGCCTATTCTGAACTTCGGGTGTGGGTTTGGCGTGGGTTTGGCGTGGGTGTGGCGTGGGTTTGGGTTACTAGTGGGCCTGGGTTTGGGTTACTAGTGGCCAAACTAGCCCCTAAAAATAATCATGGTTGCAAAACATTGCACCAAACCGCAAATGGTGTGGGGAGCAAAGTTCACCGTCTTTTTTCCCCCCTTTTTTTTTTTTAATTTTAGATTGTCCTTTTTTGGCTTTCTTTTGCGTTCTAAATCTTCTGGTAAATGAGACCAATGGCCGTCATTTCACGCGTTTTGCACCATGCGATCTCTCTCATTCCTGTTGATGGACTCCTGTTTCATCATGCGGACACCCCTTTCTGATATCAGCCTTCTTTCTCTCATGTGGACTCCCTTTTTTTCATCAATCCGAAAATCGAACCGTGTGTTGTTGTTAGGGCCTTGTTCCACACCACTTTCGAATCCTTACATTGTAAGGGTAGCCCTAACTGGAGCCTTGTTCCCAACCAAAAAAAAAAAGAAAAAAAAAAAAAAAAGGCTCCGTCTATTGGTGGGGAGCATCACCTGCTGGAAAACGGGTCCAGCATCCCTTAAACAGAAATTGAGAATGTCTGAGAACAGTGATTGTGAGGCCTGCCAGCATTGATTGCCCTGTCTCCAGGGGATTTACTGAGCAGGTGTGTGTATATCATAGTGGTGTAGCCCTTGTTTCCCGTATCTCTTCACCCCCGGGGGGGTGCCAGATGTCCCATTAAGCTCTGATACTACTTCAGGAAGGCATAACAAGCTGCTACCCAGTCTGTGTAGTCTGGGTAATAAAGCAAGGGGAGGAAAGGGGAGGAAGGGAGGGATCTCTTCACCCGGGACTCGGGGCCAAATATTGCTGTTATTCGCTAATTCCTCCCTCCTCCAACTAGCCCCTGTGGGTGCCAACCCCCTTCTTCTCATCACGATGTCCTTCATCCCAGACCACACCTAGCTCCCGACTAAGTCCAAACCATACCACGTGTTGTCCACTAAGCAGTTGGACCGAGGGGGGAAGAAATCAGGGAAATGTTCCAGGGATTTGAGAGGGATTGTCGGGTCCACTTTGGTCCAGTCGTTGAAGCGTAGATGATAGTCTGTTGTGACGCCCGCCTCTTGTTGGACCCCCCTTGGTGTTATGGTTTCTGAGGGATCTCCCTTCCATTCCACCTTCCCTATCCTCCCTCCATGGGCACCCCCAAGCCAGTTTGAGTTGAAGTTCTGGATTTGCTTTTTAATGTCATTTGGTTCTGTGAGAGGTTGGATTCGTGCCTTGAGCGCATTCCATTTAGCGGTTATTTCCGTCTGTATCTGTTGCTGAATGCTCTCAGTGAACTCTGGACCTTCCAGCCGCGCCCCCTCCATTTCGAAGGTACAGCGCCGGCGCCAGAGCGCCCAGAGAATCGCCCGCCGTCCCAGCCTGAGCATGTTGTCGGTGAAGTCGTCTGTTTGCTCAGTTAGACTCTTGGGCCAGGTTTCGCATAGTAAGGCCTTCCAATCCCGCGGCCATTCGACGTTTGTCTCGAGTTGATCCCACACTCTGTCCCACCATCTCCATGGCCAGAGCGCTCCGGGGCATTGGAGAAAAATATGCTCGATTGTTTCTGGCTTTTTCCGAGGCGGGAAGGCGTTTGTGCAGAGTTTGCACCATGGGAGGGCCCGCCCTTGTTGTTCTAGGGTCGTTCTATCTATGAGCCAGTTATTTGTTGGAAGACAGCGGTGCTCGATCTGCCATTGGAGCGAGGACCATTTTGCTGGCCTTTCCTTAACTGTTCGGAACCATCGGATGGGCCTAAGCTCCTGGTTGCTGATATTGAGATGGTTTCCCCAGCACTCTTTCACCTGATCGCGCAGAGCGGCCTAACTGGGCCAAGGTGATTAATTTACCCCAACTCTTTTTTTTCGTTCCACCGCTCGTAAGGAAGACCAGTCTCAGGTGAGGAGGGCTGGGTGTCAGGACCTTGGCCTGTAGGGCAATCGGTAGGGTCCCACCCTCACATTTCAAGTCACCTCGGGGGGCTCCCTAGAGATTTCCGTCGTTTTGCCTGGGGCGCCCTCATTTTTTAGGGGCGGACCCTAAAAGCCAAAAATGTGGAAACATTCTGGAGTTCATTTTTTTCGTCATTAGGGTGTAGTGGAACGATGATTTTGTAAGAATCCTTACATTTGTAGTGACGAACGAGGTCCTTATGTCCACCCGACACTACTCCACAGCCAAAAAAACAAGCATGCCTGTGAGACAGACTCTTTTGTCAGTTGGACTCTGAACCCATCAGGAGGTTGAATGAACCTTGGCAAGCTTCGCAAGATGCATTCGACTGATGCATGCAGAGAGACCTCATTGCCCAAAGATGGCGATACCCTTGAGATATTCACATGCAATGATCCCAGTACTGTTTGCAGACTGAGAAGTCTTCTGTGTTCCATTGAGAAAATGGGGCCTTTTTTCTTTTTTTTTTCTTTTAGAAAATGGTGTCTTTTTGTTGTGTCTTGGAGCATGGTCCCATTAGCAGTCGGATAGAAGTGTGGTGGCCGGTCCAGTGTGGCACTGAGTGGGAGCGGCCTGGAAAGGGCGTCATTAGACTCTCCTTATGATTTCCTCGAGCTACAAGGAATTTTGCTGCCTCGTTCCACATATCCTTGGGGACGCCCACCGAGGGCGTTTCCTTGTAGCCTGCCCGCAGCAGTTTTCATACGATTATATGCGGCAGCGGGGGGGAGTGTCCGTGGTCCAGCGTCCTGTGCCCGTCTGGAGACGGCGTGGTCCAGCGGCGCCCGGCGGGAAAAGGCAGGGCCAGGCAACGAAAAAGAGAGCAAAAGATAGGGGAGCTTTATGTTCGAAATTCAAAATTTGAAGTGCGGCTGTGATGACGAGTACGACCATCAGCAGGTGGGGCGAGGACGGGGCACGGGCGAATCGGGCTTTGCAGCAGCGTCCCTCCCGAGAAACGCAGCGCTGTGTGCACGTGCGCACACTGGTACCTCCCATCGCCATAAACGCATGCCACTTTGCGGGTGTCGTTCAACACAGTTTTCCGAGGAGAGCGACACCGACCCAAAGGGAGCAGCTTTGCGGAAGTGTCGGGGGGGCGACCATCCTCACAGCAGTGGAGACACGTCATTCATGTGGAACTGTTGGCGATGGAGGGTGGCGGAGAGGTCGGGCGTGTGCTGTTGATTCCGCTGGAGAGGACAGCCGTGGCGGCAGCCCTGGCGGCCGTTGTCCTTCGTTGTCAGCAGGAGAGGGCGTTGGGACGAGAAGGCGCAGCTGCGCACGCAAAGGAGAAGAATGCGGATGCAAGATGCACATGATGGCCCCGAATCGTAGTGACTTCGGAGGCTGTGATTCAGTTGTGTTACACGTTGGGTTGCGGCAACATTCTGCGAGCAACGTTGAGGTGGTGGATGAAACACAGGATGGGGGGGG